CTCTTTAGGTACTGGAAGCTTGCTAGGAGGCCTCAGCTCTCTCAGCCTGTCCCTGCAGGGAAGGAGCTCCAGCCCTCTGATCGTCTTTGTGGCCCTGCTCCAACAGCTCCATGTCCTCCCTGTGTTGAGGGCTCCAGAACTGGATGCAGTACTCCAGGTGGGGTCTCATGAGAGCAGAGCAGAAAGGCAGAATCACCTCCCTTTCAGCCCTTTCAATGGCTGCCGTTTCTTTTCCTGGCATACATAAAACATGCTTAATTATCAGCATCGTAATCAAAGCTATTAATTGTAATCACAAAGAAATACAACAAGGGGCCCGGTTATTTTAACCCAGTTCAGTTTTCTTTGCTTATTTATTTATTGTGCATAACCATCCCTTTTCTCCTAACAGGCATCTCTCTTGGAATTGGGCTGCTGACAACTTACATGTATGCAAACAAAAGCATAGTAAATCAGGTTTTCCTCAAAGTAAGTATCACAGCCTGCAGCACAGCTCTGTAAGTTAACCACAGCCTTTATCCATCAGCTCTTGAAAGAAATGTTAATGGAGAACATTAATGGAGATGCTTTTGGTACAAGGCAGAAGTGGTTTTGTAAACTCAATGCTTTTGTATGGTACAGAGCTTCACAGGTAAGGTGGCAAAACTCAGAAAGCTTTTCTTCTTTTCCCTGTTGCTGTTCTGAGAAAAGCTTTCTGCAGTTTATAGGAAAATACAACTGTGTTTATGGCCTGAAATCAATCTGATGGAGTCTTCCAGTAATAACTACTCAGGTGTGATGGGAAGTGCTTTGGGGATGCAGTTAAGATGTAGATAAGGGTTGTAATAAGTCTTGATTATCTTACAGGAACGGTGCTCCAAGTTGCAGTGTGCTTGGCTGCTGCTGTACCTCACTGGATCCTCTCTCCTCCTGTATTACACCTTTCATTCTCAGTCTCTGTACTATAGGTAAGTAGAGGAACATCACCATTCGTGTCACAATTCACACTGATGCAAACTGGAAATACCTTATTTGTGCTGCTGCCACTTTTCTTTAATTGTAGCATCGGTTCCTCTTTCATTTCCATCTCCATTCCTCCTCCCCTGCTCACCTGGATGGTGCTGTCCTTAGAAACAATTCCTTTCAATTTGCAAATACTGCAAATGCAGCAGAGGTGCTGAGCCATGGGGACACGGCTGGCTGTGATTCCCAGCTCTGAGCCTTCTACCTCGCCTTCAGCACACTGAATTCAGAGCAGTCTGAAATTCTGGGGGCTTTTCCTTCTCTACCTTTCTGTAGCTACAGTCTTGTAGTGCATCAGTCAAAGGCTGTCATGCAAAAATGGAAAAGAAAGCTTTTCTGTAGAGGACAGAAGGTTGAGAAATGGAGAGGCTGTCAGAGGTCACAAAGGATCCATTTATAATAAAAAGTTCGTTTTCAGTTAGTGCTGCTGTGATAATGCTTAGCTTTCCCCTGAGCAGGGCACTCTGTTAACTTCGGATTCATTGGGGTTGGGTTTTTTGTGTGCTTTGTTTTGTAGCTTAATCTTTTTAAACCCTACTGTGGATTTTAAGAACTTCTGGGAGGTACTTTGGATTGTGGGAGTCACAGACTTCATTCTAAAATTCCTCTTCATGGGCTTCAAGTGCTTTATTCTCTTGGTGCCTTCTTTTATGATGTCCTTTAAATCCAAGGTAAGAAAACCATCCATTTCTTTAAGAACATCCTTTTCTGCTAAAATAGCTAATGATTAAATTCTACCCAGAGGAAAGCCTTTTAATTAAATGTCTGTACATCATCCACCTCTGCACCACGGGCAGGAAAACCCTGTAGATTTCTTGTTCTTCTCTGCTTGGTGCCAAGCAAGACTTATAGTCTGACCTGAAAAAAAATTGCTTGTATTGTTTCATTGGATAAATGGTTTATTTCTGCTGTAAGAAATGGGATGAAGAAACCTTTTATTTGAAGCAATGGAAGGGTGTGTATGCAGGCTGTCAGCACAGCAGCTGCTGTACAGTACGGTTTTTACTAAGTTATCTTAGGAGCCTGCATTGCTTGGTGGGGTATTGATGTGTATCTGCTTCCCAAGGTAAGACATGCAAAAAACAAGCCAAGTTCTACATCCAAACAGCAAATACCACTCGTAGCTACAATTACTAACAATGGGAACAAGTGTAGGTAGCACGTGATAGCATCCAAACAGGCTGTTGGGGTAGATTTTCTCTTTCAAAATATACCAGGACTTTATTTCTTAGGTACGTTATTATTCAGTAATTTTTAGGCCATCATGAACTCAGTTTCCTCGTTCGGTTCAACTACTCTATGCTTCTTTCTCTTTAGCAATTAATTGTACGTGTTTGCATTTTACATCTTGAGAGATTCTTTTGCATGTCTTGCTTAGGGCTACTGGTACATGCTGTTAGAAGAACTCTGCCAGTATTACCGTATGTTTGTCCCCATACCAGTTTGGTTCCGTTATCTTATTGGCTATGGGGAGCCGGACAGTGTACTTGGACAGACCCTTGGGACATTGCTGGGCCTTTCCTACCTCATTCTCAAGGTGTGTAAGCTTTACAATCCTCTAAACTATTTTGCAAGTTAGCACTAGAGCCGTGTAAGCCAACGCAGTTCTGGTTCTCCTACTTGAAGTGAAAAAAAAAGAAGGGAAGAGAAGCTCAGGGCACTGCATTTGTCCTTTTTTGTTCTTCTTCTCCTTCCCTGCATCTGCTCTGGGCTTGTGCAGCAAAGAACTCTGTTGCTGTGGGACTCTTCTCAGAGCAGACATCGATCTGACCATCGTCAGCAATAGAGAGGAGAGCTTGCAAAAATAAAGGTGAAACTTACGGTGAAAAGGAAGTCAGCATTTTTTGGGAGACTCCATTTTTCTCTCTGCTAGAATTTGCGTGCGCTGTTAAACAAGGCAGAGAAGCATTTAGAATAGCTCTCTCATTTGTTAAAGAGCTCAACTGCCTCCCAAAAACCAAACTCAGTACAAGTTCTGCTTTGAACGTGAAAAATACGTGATGACGTTACAGCATCTTAATCACAAGGACTGCTGTACACACAATGATAATTCTAATGCATTTGCAATTGAACAATTCACAACACCAATAGTGTTTTTCTTCCAAAGAACAGCCACCCAATACTGAAAAACCTTCAGGCTAAATGAAGGGTTACATCCCAAGCAATTGAAACAGGGCTGGTCCAAACCCTTTGCTCACCTTCCTGCCGACATCACATTGGCAGTGCCACTTCTGCTGCTGGGATCTGCACAAAACCTTGGAGGTTTTCTTCAATTCTCAGAGAAAGACATTAATGCATTCATGTTCTCCTTCCCATTTCAGCTTTTGAGCTTTTTTGGACAATGGAGAAACTTCAGACAGGTTTTACGGATATTTTGTACACGACCAGTGAGTATTGAATGCTTTTATCTAAAAAGCAGTAAATCTGATATAAATAAAAATGCTCCTCTTTGAAATAACCCATTCCTGTATGACTTCGTGGATCTCTCTTCATGGCAGCTGTGTTTTTAAAGTAATCCCTCTTTATTTGTTCCCCTTCTTTGTCCCCTTATTTTGCAGTTCTGACTGCATAATTACGGGGTAGCTTGAACAAAAGCAGTCTGTTCTGCATGTCTCTTCAGATACACTCCTGTGAGATAACATCACCCTTTTTCCCTACTTTCTAACTGGAATAAATACTGCTTGTATACAGGCAAAGCTTGTAGCAGAAATACAAGTGAGAAATGAAGCTTGCCAAAACAATTGACATGTAAGTAACTGCTGTTAGAATAAGTTCCTCAGTTTGTCTGTCTGTAGGGACAGGCCCCTAAAATCTTCTATGTATTATTACCAGGTATTATTTAGCCTGCTGTTTGCACGGTAAAATACACAGAAGATTTTAGAGCCTGGTATCATTAACTTAAAATGCTTCACTATTATTTTAGATAAGTGCTGTCGTGTTTAAGTCCTGCAAAAAAAACCAAACAGACAAACAAACCTGCTCCAGGTTTTTCCTACAGCCGTGTTGAGGGGAAGAAATTAACTTAATTAGCTGCGTATCCTACAGGAGATGGGAGCATGTGATCTGTAGGCCCTACATCAACTGTTGGAAAGTTCAGCAAAACTTTGTTGGATCAGGGATTGGGTGCTTTCCCTGCCATAGCAGCCCTTATTCCCTGTTCCTTTCTGTTTTTTGGTGGTTTTTTCCCCCCCACTTAGAACTAATTTGTGCTGAAAAATGTTGTTTTGCAGCACTACGGGGTGACAGCCAGCAAGAAGCAGTGCTCTGAATCAGATGATATTTGTTCTATCTGCCACACTGAATTCCAGAAGCCTATCCTGCTGATCTGCCAGGTAATGCACATCATCAGAATTCATTTCTGCAAAGTTAGAGTGTTTTTAAGAACTGGGAAATAGAACTACACAGAGTTAAACCAGCGTTTGCCTTCTGATTATCTTTAGAAATCAGGCTGTGCAAATAATATTCCTCCTTACAAACAGAAGAGCTCAGAAGCTCTAAGCTGTCATTCTTTTCATTACAGCACACATTTTGTGAAGAATGCATCTCTTTATGGTTTAATAGAGAAAAAACATGTCCACTCTGCAGAACTGTTATTTCAGACCATGTTAACAAGTGGAAGGATGGAGCTACATCTATGCGCCTGCAGATTTTCTAAGGCATGTCAACCAACTTGTTTGAGTTTGCTCATTCTGTACAGCTTACTGCAAATGGGAGTGCAGGTGGCACAGGGAATGAGTTTCCCAAATCAAGGTATCTGGGATTTCTTGCTTCTAGGAAATGTTTTAATACTCAAAGCAGTGCAGAGAGTGCCAACTTCTTAAGTATAGGAAAATAAGTTTATAAAGTGAAAGCAGGAAAGTCAGCATTGCTTCTATTGTGATTCTTTCAGAAAACAATCCAACTCTTCCAAAACGGTGTGTTTGCAGCAGCTTCTTAAATCAGCATTTAATTTAAAAGCTTACATAGCGTTCCAGACTGTGCTAAATTGCATTTATGCCTCTAACATTACCCAAAACCCAGGGTTAGCAGTGAATTTCATACTCTGGACTACAGTGGGAGCTGAAGCCACCTGTCACACCTGGCATTAATGATCTCTTAATGCTACAGCAACTCCCTGCATCAATACTAGCAGCTCTCACTGCACCTGGAGATAAAAACAAGATGTTTCTCCTTTAGGTTTGTGCAGATTTCCAATTGATCACAGCTTTAAAACGGAAAAGCAACCGCTGATGTTAGTTTTTTACTGAGCTTTTTCTGAGATCGGTATTTTTAAAACAGATCTTTAATACTCTATTTTTGTCACAGCAGGAAGCAGATTTTCTTACAGGGGAGAATATTTTATACTATATATGCCATTTGTAGTACGCATAAGAATCAGAGGGAATAAACGCATTGAAATCTATTTGTTTGGTGCACGTTGAATAAAAGAAATGAGATTCATTGCGATAGACAAGAACTGAATCTGTCATGGAACAAAAATGAGCAGGGAGGACTTTAGGTTGGGTTCTGAAGCTGTGATACACTCCTATACACTGGCAGCTCATGTGGCTCTCCAGACACTCACACAATCGTATTTGGGGTTCCCCAACCAGTCTGAACGTGGTGCTTTATCTAAAAGGTGCTCTATGCCTTTAGATTTTTTTAAGCAGGTATTGTGAGAGTACTTAGTAAGCAGTTTGAATGCCATATTTCATTCTGTCAATAGCACCTTTAAAAAAAAGCTGTGTGTGTGTGAGCCCAGTGCACAGCTTAGGAGAAGGCAGAGATAATAACCAACTTACCCAGTATTCTACAGAAATAAGAAATGTGAGTTATCCTGGATTAGGTTTTTTCCTGAAATGCTAATGCCGAGAGTTTACTCCCTGTTTTAAGTTGGTTGCATTTAGGATCAGAGAACAATTTATCTTATTATCTTGAAGTTAATGAATTTTCTTCAAGATCCAATGACAATTATCCAAATCCAACAATATTATCAAGCATAGTTTATTAAAAAACAAAACCAAACAAGAGCTTAAGAGATTTGGATCGGAGAGGTTAGATATAAATTTCACAATTGAAACAAGTCATTCTCATCTTAGTTAGAGAAGAAAGAAGTAACTTACAGCCATGAAGGACGTCCTCTCAGATCCACCAGTGAGCATCATGCCATTGAGATGCAGCTCTTCCTTGAGCCAGAGCTTAGTGAAGGTACCTGCACCTGTAGGACAGACTGATCAGCATCTTTGGGTCCTTAAGTTCTCAATGTAATTCCCCCTCCCTCCCTTTTCCTTTGAAGATGTGTAGACCCACAGTTATATTTAAGCCCTACTTCCCGAAAAAAAGCCACTTGGATTAACATATGTTTAAATTTTCAGTAATTGCTGTCCATCTTATTCTGCAGCACGTTTAGTTCCAGCTAACTGGGAAAGATGAGAACAGAACAGGGATTACCTTTTTTTCTCCTCAAGCTCAAGTTTGTTTCTTGAACGGGGCTACAAAGCCAAGTTAATCTAGAAGAGAACAATCTAATTCATGTATAGAAACCAAATACAGTAAATCACTGAGGATCTGCAGGAAGAACACTGAAGTCACGTGCTGTGTTTTTAAGAACTTCTCTTCCTCCTATGCCCATCTATAACAAAGGCTAGGGATTACTCTGCAAAATAGGCAATGGACTCAATTAACACTGACAGCAGTTTGGTCTGATTCTCTTTTTAACGTTAACCCCCAAAGTAAGCATCCACTGTAGGGGTGGACACAAGTATTCTCTAGCAGTTCAGCTTTTGGATAGCTAGACATAAATACATTTTAAAAAAGGGATATTCCAAAGAACCACTGACTCATTTATTTGTATCTTTTATTATGAGCTAATACCAGGATGACATTCAGATGTCAGATGGCACAATTAAGACAGTCTTGGTAGGAATTATTCCAGCATTCCCAAAATTACAATTTAGTACACAAATGGCATCAAATGTATGCATCACTCCCACAGAGAAAAATGATGAAATTCTGAATATCTCATACCAGAATAATTTCTGCATTAAATGGGAAAAGAAAAACTGCTGGTAATGCAGCTGACCTAATAGAAACCTTTTGTGGTAACGACTCGCAGAACAAAATATTGCCCTATTTAACATCTAGTAAAAAAAAATATGACTTTTGTTCAAGATTTAATACTTTCATATGGTTAGCCAAAACAGGTATTAACCTCAGTTTTACTATATTTTTGTAATGCTACAAAAATTCTATAAAATCAAATTATAGTGAATTTTTCAGTGATTATAATTAAAAAAGCGCAGCTTGTACAAAATAAAAAAAATAAGATTCTATACTCTAATGAAAAATTTAAGACATTTTTAAATGAACAAAAGAAAGCACTTGTTAAGCTCTCCAATATTCAATGCATTCTGCACTTATCTGAAATAGCCAGACAGGAGCTCAAACTCCACTGCCCTCAGGTCGTGACTAGTCATTTTGACACTACTATATATATATAGAGGATCTATGTCTGATATTTTTACAAATAAATACAGGATAAACCATATTGCATAGTGTGTGCTTGCTGTCTGAGTCACACTCCAGAAGTTTCACAGTTATGGTAGGGAACTAAAACTTACAATCTATGGGATGAAAGATGGGCAGGATATGAAATTTCCTTTTAAAAATGATAAACTGTATCTGTAATTAAGCAGTGAACTCAGACAAACAACTCTTGCCATTCTTGCCAGCCATACCAAACCAACTCTACTGGACAAGTCTATCCAGCCAACCAAAAAGGAACTGTTAGCTGTAATTAGGACCAAGAGATCTGCCTCAAAAAATAAAATTAAATTAAACTAAGTTCATTTATACTCAGTAAACATGGCAGGAAACCTATGTTAACAAGTGACACAGAGCAGGCATCGCTTGAAGTGTTGCCTCTTTGCAAATATGCATAATACACACTAAGCACTCTGATTTCAGTTTCACAACGTGTCACCAGCAGCCATATTACCCAATGAAAGACATCGATCTTCCAGTACAATTTATGTCAATGGAAGGTAACTTGATTTTCCTGATAAAACTAAAAAAGAAACTCTCCAACAAAAGGCTTATCAGGAAGAAAACAAAATACTAATTTTTGCTCAATCATCTGTATCTTCTTTTGTTGGCTCTTTATTAGTATCAACAAGATATCACTGAATCCTTCTGGCTTGCAAACTCTGATCGGATTCAACGTGTAGAGAGTCTTATGGCTTGGATCCTATGGCTCAAAAAGATTCAGTATACACACAGAGTAAGCAGAATCTATAAAAAATCCCTACTGTTGTGAAACACTAGAAGTAGACTTTGCACAGTTTGACTAAAGATAATGCAACGTGTGGCAGGCAAAAAATGACAGGACTTGTATGCAGTTGCATGATCATATACACACACACACGCACACACCATACACACTCTAACTAGTGTAAAGCTCTGCAGATATTAACCCTTTCACCAGCTATGCTCATGGAAATGCTTTCTTTAAGGCAGGAAGTATTAAGTAAGGTAAAGTTACCTTTATTTTATTCTTTGTACCTGTAAGCCATTTGTACAGATTGTGACAATTTTAAAAACATAAATAGTGTCCTTAGAACATGTTTGCTAAATTAAGTTGCTGAAGTTCTGACCCACTGTGGAAGACATTCGCTGAAAGGCCATTTTACGTTTTCCTCAGCCTCATACAACCAGCAAATTTATTGCCCCAGCATAGGAAAAAAAAAATTTAGAAATATGTAATGGCAGGGAAGTCCGTCCCATAAGCAAAAATTTATTTTAAAAAAATTTCCTGAAGTTCTTACCCATTGGTTACAAAAAGGTTTGCTTGCTTACATGACGTAGCACTTGCATACATTTCCTGTGGAAGTACAGCCACACCTCCTGACCTTGTGTTCAGATGCACTTTTTTCCAACCTTTTATATGGGTAAGAATCTGAATGCATTCAGCCATCTCCAGCTAAGTGACTGGCATATACAAAAGTGATGTTTCCCAGTGAAATGTCTGCTGAGGACAAGGATGAAATAAGCAGGACGTGTATTTGAGCCCATGGCTTCCAGTTAAGCCTAGAACATAGCAGCACTGTGATTTGATTAGATCCATTCGTCTTTGCAGGAACAGGTATTTCAGATGGGTAAGCAAGTGAAACAGTTCTTTCCCACCCCGCGTTGCCAAGCTGGTAATCGAGTAACTCACTTACTGATTTTTTGTTTCATGAGGAGAATCAGAACTAGAGCCTTTACTTTCTTCACAGCAACCAATTATTTTGTATTCTAAATTTTGGGATACTTTCCATAATGAGCTGAATCAAAAAAATCTATTCGAAAAATATATATTTTTATATATATATATAAAAAAAACTCATTCGGTTTTGAATGTGAAATACCAATTAATTTTATCTCTCATCTTTGATTCCACCCCATTGCAGGAAACAGCTTAACCAAGCTTGCATGCTAATTATTCCTCGGTCGCAAGCATATAGGCATTTCATACTTTGCCTAGTGAAAGGGCTAACCCTCCTTGACACATTCACAACTAGACCAGTGATTCTGAAGCAACATCCTGCCCCTTAATACTGTCAGTTTCAAGCTACCAAGCTGAAAAATCCTTGATAAGGTGAGAAGATGTCACTGCAAATCAGTTAGATGATGTGCCTAGAGTTCTGCAATACCATTTTCTAAAGTTTTTTATGCACCATTGATTGACAGAAAAAAAAAAATCCATTTTTCTTTGCTTTCCAAGTCGCTCTGTGCAAGGACTGACTCTTTGATACTGTCACTTTTTAAAAGTAAACCATACAAGCCCTCGTATTTCAACTTCAAGGGGCTTATGTCCATTCTTTGTTTTCCACCTTCAAAGGCTTAAAAAAATTGTGTTGTCATAGATTCATGCGCAAGTGCTCTGGTCGTTTGGAAATCATGGGGAAAGCTTGTTTTTTGTATGGCCCAGAGTTTGGTTGCCGGATTGGAAGCGGTGCCGAAGCCTCTCCACAAACTGTCACATCCATTTGTTCTATTCCACTCGTCTCCATTGGATATTCCACAGGTGTCTGAGTATTTGATGCGCTGGCAGAAGCACCTCTTCCCCAGAATTCCCCAGGGGAAAACTTTACAGGGCTTTAAAACAAGAAATACAAATATCAGAAATGAAGATATACACAGCACATAGTTATGCCCTTCATTCTGCAGAAAGCCAAATTCAAACGCCTGCTGAGAAGCATGCAATTCTTCCTTCCACTTTCAGAAGTTTGAGAGAATTCTACAAGAGGCTGTGGTAGATACTAAAGTAAAATTCTCTCCTTTGAGTAACTGGGATATATTTCTAGATTGCCAAGTTTTCATTACAGAAATGATTCTTTAGCAGCACATAAGCACCCCACACGTTCTGAAACAGTTTTAGAGGAACACATAGGAAAGTCACCAGACTGTGAGGCTGCACCAGTACTGCACAGGTGGCCAATTAGTACTTCCTGTGCTGCCAAAGACCATAAATTTGTCTCTAATACTGTAGTTTGTAAAATAGGATTGATACTGCACTTCAATGGAAGTGACAGGCTCACTAGGAAGAAAGGCAGTTTTGTTTTATCTGTTTTTTAACTACTTGCTAAAAAGTTGATAAAAAAAAGAGAAAAAAGACATACCTGACTGGTGTCCTAGGGCTACCTATGAATCTGCGAGGTGATCGAATTTTTGGTTCAAAAGAAAATTTCTCTTTTACACTTTCAAGTACAGATGGAGCCACATACGTAAAACCCTGCAAAACAGCAATGAGGGCACTGTAACTTACAGGTGAGGTTGACATTTCTGGTGACTTGTACATTTATTACCATCATTAAATAGAAAATTACAAAAAGGGCAGTAACTTTGGACACATGAACATCTGCTCATTATCTGATGCAAACAGCAGGACTTTAGGGAATTCCCTACCTGGGTGCCTGCTCATCCCAGATATTTCTGCTTGAATCACAGATTCACAGAAGTGTGCTCAAACCAGTTAATTTTGATTTACAGATGGATTGTCTGCATGTCAATGAAAACAATCACATCCCCAGAATTCTTAGTGCGATTTTGAACTAGAATGCTGACATTTCAGAAAGCGAGAGATGTTTACGTGGGTTTTAAATTATCTATATTAAAAAAAAGTTGAAAATAATCGAAGTATATTCAAAATCTGCAGACTTTTAAGCCTGTTGCCAATATATGTCTTCAAAATTCTGATAATTTGCTTTGATTATCAGATGGTAAGATTCAATAGAATTAAATTACCTGAATTGCTTTACTGTTCCCAAGTAACAGTACAGATCTCTCCACATCGAACGCCTGTCCCTGGCTCACTTACCAGAAAGACCTGGTTGGCACTTTCACTGAGAGTAGAGTCATCTGGGCTATCAACAGGTGTCTGACGTGTAAACTTTGAATCAAACTGGCTCACATCCTCTTCAGATTGCTTTGCAAAAACAAAATGATTAAGGGTTTATATTACAGATATCAACCAAATGGCTTAGCGGTGATCAGTGTAGCCTCTGGATGGAGTTCATTCCATAGGATTTTGGCAGAGCTCTGCTGTAGTAAAGCCCTGGAGTGGTGTCGGAATCCTGTCGCTGCCAGTGGGAGGTCACTATGGGCACTGACACTGAGAAATAAAGGCAAGGGGGAGGGGCAAAAATCATGGATCAAAAAGGAACACAAATTAAAAAGATGCCTTTAAAAAAAAAAAAAATCTCAAATTACAAACAAAAACTTTCAGAAATACAACGGCAGTTTCTTTCAAGTTTAATTCTGGTCACAACCAGTACAGAACAGCTGCAACTATTAATTTCTGGAAGTCTTTCTCCAGATAATTTAATCCCAATTTCACAGGCAGAGAAGTGTTTACACTAAGGGACAGATGACAACTGTGGAATAACTGCCTATGAGGAGTACTCTTTAATTCAGTCAAAGAATAACAGACATCATTTCAAGATTGTCTCTTGCTAAGCGTAACCAAAAAGACAAATATGTAACCCATTTATGGACGCCTTTGTGTAACCAAGGAAGCCATGTTTTTAAAAACCATCTAGTCAGTACAAACAGCTTTCATAAAATTTGCTAATAACAGAAAACTATCTTTGGATATTTGGTTTGGAAATACCAGTCTTTCATGTCATTCTAAGCGTCATTCAAAAAAGGAGAGGATAAAAGCTTTGGAGTCTTCATACTGTAGTACACTCAACACTAGTGATGCATAAATCACTTTAAAGGGAGATTTTGAGTCAGGAACTATCAAGGATACCTATACCTCCGCTTCTGTAGCTAATTGGGCCCAAAACAAAAGACATTCCACATCACCAAAACACAGGGTAGAACAGTATTGGCTTATTCACCACATCCTTGCCTTGAGGTGCACTTTAATTACTGCGTGGAATGTGCTAGATGCAGTGTAAATATTAATAAGCAAACATCCAAACTTAACGAGGTGACTTCATTTACTTTTGCTTAGCAACTGTCACCTTAGTTTCAACTAAGAACTGACTTATGTTTAAAAATAATTGCACTTCCAAGTCTGAATAACCTACAGTGTAGAAGCAAGGGGAATTAAAACTGAGGTAGAAGTTTCTTTCTTCAGGAGACTGAACAGATGGATAAATTAGTTCTTAGGTGTTGTTGCCACCTTCTCTCATAAAAAAGCAATGTCCTATTCTGGTGACAGATGAATACCATGACTGCAGAATAATAAGACAGAACAGCATGAAAGGGTTCTTTGTTTCTTAAATGTTGATACAGCATCAGTTCTCAGGATTAAAAAAATAAGGAAAAGAACTCTGCACCAGTAACTTAAGTTGATGCATTTAACTACTGAAGTACCAGAAAGCAAAGGTCCTCTGGTTTTTAAGAATGAATGTTTCTAAGTTTTAGATACCACATTGTTTAAGACCTTTCCTAAAGGTATACAGGAGAAGTATCTCACAGCTCTTTGAGTACATACCAATAAGGGCTTAAAAGGAGGTTCCACCTTTCGTGCCAACAGCTCATCCCAGTTAATGTGTCTGAAGAACGGGTGAGCCTAGAAGGGTTAGCAACAACACAGTCATGCAACAGCCTTCTGGATATAACTTGCAAAAATTTAAGATTAAAAAGGTAAGATCTAGATTTTATTTTAAGATATTAAGGTAAGAAGAAACAGGAACTAGGCCTCTGCTTAAGCTTTCTCTATGCAACACAAGATCAGTTAGTTAGACTTCTACTCTGAGAAAGCTGCACCATATGCAAGGTTTTTCATCAGACTGCTACAGTAACTTCACTCTTACACAGTGGACTGTACAATTCACCGTTGTAAAACTAGTAGAAAAGATCTACTGGAACACAGAGCTAAAAAAAAAGTAAGTTATTTCCAAGTCACAAATTATCAGATAGATAGCTGCTCTTTTGTTATATTTCAAAGCATCCACGTTTTAATCACCCGTCAAGCATGGCTGCCTTTTTGCCCATTACATTTCAGATCTCCCCCTCCCTGTAAGCTACTGTATTTTGAGTGAGGTAGTTTAACAATTCTGAAGTTAAGCAAAAGTTACCTGAACTTCTCCAGCATCTCCAGGACCAGCTCCTAGACGTGAGGCAGCATTTCTTTTTAGCAGCTTAATAAGAAATAACATCCAGAATTAGTTATGCCATTATGATTAGACTAGTCCTGAAATGAATCATCACGATTGAATAGCACATAGAATGGATATGGAACAATCAGAAAATTTGCATTAATTACAAAACAATCAAGTTTGTCACGCAAAATCAAGACTGAGTTAGCAGCAGTCAAAACAAGCATGGGGTAAAGAGCCCTAGTGGTATCATCATATTTCTGTTCTCCACATACACGTGCAGTACTGACATTTTAAAAAATTCTACCTTTTTAAGCAGATCTCTGGCTTCTTGTGTGAGGTAGGGAGGCAAGTTGAGTTTACACTTGAGAATCTTGTCAATTGTTTTCTTTCTGTTCTCCCCGGTGAAAGGAGGCTAGAAAGCACCATTGTAGTGGAAGGAAAAATACGACTTGTTCAGATCTCTTACTTGTGTACAAAAAAGCTCTAATTTCAGTAACGCATAAAACAGATAAAATTACTGCAAGTTGGAATTTGAAATAATTCTTTGGATAAGACCAGCTCATGACTGTAGTCAAAATAAGTGTAGTTGTATTTTACTTATGTCTATACAAGTATATTCATATTTATCCATGCATCTGAATTAGAAGACAGGTAAACTTCAAAAGCTATAAAGAGAAATACATGCAATTATAACTGTGCACCTACTGCTCCAGTCAGCATGTCATACATTAATGCCCCCAAACTCCACCAGTCCACAGCACGATTATGCCCACTCCTCATCAAGATTTCAGGGGCCCTATAATAAAAAAAATTGGAAATATAAAAATACTTTAACAGGCTTAGTAGTAATTCTGACTGCAATTTTTCAAGTACAATTTCTGTAACTGACTGAAGTAGTTCTTAACTACTTCTGCATTTCATCAGGCAGCTCACATGTATTCAATTGTTCCACAGAACGTGTGTGTGACTGTTCCATCATGAATAGATTCTTTACATAATCCGAAGTCTGTCAATTTTACATGACCTGAAATTAAATAAACAACACATAAGACAGACAAATACCAGAATTCCGACATTTGTAAAAGCAACATTTAAAAATAAACATTTTTTTTAACATTAACATGCAATAACTCTGAACTACCTCCAGTTGCAGTTAATGGTCTGACAAAGCAGTTCAGTTAATAAGACAGAATGACATAATTATATACAAAGACTAAAGGTATTTCATATCACATGAAAATTCTGGATGGTACAGATTGCCAGACTAATCCCTGTCATGTAGCAATGCAGAAGTGCAATCCAGAATTGCTGCTACTGTCAGACAAAGTGTCAGCAGCTACATAAGTCATTTCAGCTGCAGGCTGGCATCTTACCTAACTTGTCCCTAACTAATGCCTTGTTACCCCATTACTGAAATGTCACTGATGCTGTCACACAGATATTTAAAGCTTCCGTGTGAAGACACATGTTTAAGTATTTCACAATGATCCAGAAGAATTATGCTCAGATCTCAGAGATGCAACAGTAGCAAGTCAACCATTCAAGAAATGCCTGTGCTTATATAAACACAACTTGCAGCTTGCTGGGGCCTCTCTATTAAAGCTGAGGTACCTATGTTTTGAAGGCAAGCAATTAGCTTTGGCAGTTATTCAGTTATACCAAGCACAATCATGAGCATGCCACTGTTACTAGAAAATTCACATATGAATGAAGCATAGTGACCTTTGAAGAAATGCTTAAATGACTGACAACGTAATTATTACTATATTTCTACCTTGATGATTAAGCATGATATTTTCCGGCTTCAGATCACGATAAATGATTCCTTTTTGATGCAAGTGCCCCAGTGCCATTGAGATTTCTGCTAGGTAAAAGCTGGAAGAAAACACATGCCAGGCAATTAGATGTATTCAGTCATGCTGAGCCTCTTAACCATTGAGGTTACTCTGTCCACATCAATAATTCCTTGAAAATATCTGAGAGAAGAAATCAGAGAAACAATGATACCTTTGAGATTGGTTTGCCAAAAGGCAGGGAGATTCTAAGATGAAATACAAACATATGCCACTAGATTTATCCATTTGGTAGCTTCTTTATGTATTTGGAGGAATCTGACCTTAACAGTTACTGGGTAAAACATGCTTCAATCTGTATTACCACATCTGAACGTAAAAGCAGAACGAAATACCTGAAGCTAAGAAGGTAACCAGAAGCATCTTCAGTGCTGTTTGTGGAACAGTGCAATATTACAGCCTTATATGCACATTGAGGCTAACCTAGTAAGGGTAACTTAACTTGTTTATCTGTAAAATACTGCTACTCAAAAGATTGTTTCTCATCCATTAATTCATTAGAATACTTTATTACTTCACACATGCCATCATTAGGAGCACACAGTCAGTAAAGAAATTTGTGAAGTCAGTAACTGCAGGGTAAAACTGTGTGTGAACCAAGTCTTTCAGTCTTTTCCTGAACACCTGAAACAAATCACACTCCTATGAGATAGTCACACTCAGCAACCAGCAGTGGAACCTCTCCTTTATTAAAACTGTTGTCTCAAGATGCCATCACAAACTGCTAAGTACAAAATGCACATCTTCCCAAAACCCGATAACTGTTTCTTTCACTATGCTACGAAATGAAGTGATTACAATTTTCCAAGTCAGAATGGATACTTCCAAGCACCCAAGAAACCCTATTAATTTACCAAAATAGTTCCACTTACCAAGCCGTGTCTTCCATAAATATCCCTTCTCTCTCTAACTGCATAAATAGTTCTCCTCCTGCCGTGAGAAAAATGAGTATTATACTCTGTCAAAGTGCATTCTATCAACTTAAATCACTCAAAAATCTGTTTCCTAAAAAAAAAAAAAGTTAAACATGTGTATTCTGTGCTGCTCTGCAAAAAGTTGTTTCACAAAAAAAAACAAACCTGAGAACGTACTACTCTGATATACACATAATGCTATCAACTTAAAGAATTACCAAGTGCATCAAAACTTCATGCTGAAAAGAAAACCAACTGGCATTTCTGCCCTTGCTTCTTCCGTTCATGTTTTCTTCTATAAATGCAAGCTCTAGATTACCTAGGCTACAAAGAATAAAGAACAGAATTTCATATACTGACCGCTGAGATACTCAAGGATGAGGTAGAGTTTTCCACCAGTCTGAAAGGCGTAAATTAAGTCTACAATGAAGGGATGTTTCACTTCCTCTAGTATATTCCGCTCTGCTTTTGTATGAGCTGTATCTTTTGCATTCCTTACAATCATTGCCTGCAAACAGCAGAAACATGAGCATAAGGAAATGGTAAATTGCAGACTTTTACATTTAACTCCCTTTGAGTTTACTAAATCACAATGTTATGAGTGAGTAACATAATTTTTAAAAATCCCCATTCTATGTACATAATGGGTTTCTTGCCAAAGTTAAATTCTTTTATGCCATAGAGTAATTTAGATCAGAAGAGATCTTAAGGTATTTAAATTATCCACTAAGAACTTTGCAGCCAGAACCACTTAAAGATTCATGATAAATTCCAGTGTACCTTGTTCATAACTGTATATATTGTAGGCAAATGTCAATTTCAAGTATATTAAATAATTATATAATTCTAACAGCTGGTGGGTTAATTTTTTTTTTTTTTTTTTTTTAGGTAGTAGCAAAATTTGAACACTCATATTACCTTTTTAAGAACTTTCATGGCAAAAATTTTCCCGGTATTTGCTCCAGTTACTTTTCGTACTTGAAATACCTACACAACACCAATACAAAAGCAATTATTCATTATGAACTGCATAAGAGGAACTTTTCAGAACACGGGATGGAAAGATTAGACCTCCCCACGTGTGGCAAGCGAGCACTTTGACTGCCTTCAGCATAATGGGTTTACTTTTGTAGAAAAGAGTCCCTTACCTTTCCATAGCCACCTTTGCCCAGTACGCGCAGTAACTCAAAGCACTCCGGTCGGATCTTTTCTGGACCTCTGTTTACACTAGTTTCTGAAATCTCAAATTTTTCACAATGTTCCATGCCACTGGATAAAACCGAAACAAGAATATAAGACTACCTGATACTTGACAACCATCGAGAGAAAGTAAGCAAGCAAACTACTTACGGCAAAACTTGCACTAAAACTGACATATCTGAATGACTGCTTTGGAGATTAGGAGAATTCTTAGCATCAGAAACTGTAGTTATGTGTGTGTGCAAAGCACTAGTTTCAGCTTGCACAAAGGACAGTCTGCCTGTATCAAAATTTCTTTCAGATGCCTTCATTTTAATGCATAATATATTTCTGCATTGTACCAGAATTAAGTTTGAAGGACCAACAACTCAAACTGATTTGGACAAGATTACAATGCTGTAAGGTGTGCTTAAGTTTTAAATCACATCCAGCAGTCCCCACAGTCACAATACAACTTCTGTAACTTCTGTGCAGAAAAAGCTGGAACAAAAGAAGTTACAACTCTGAACATGCCACAGAAAAGGCTGATCCACAACTTCAGGATGTTTCTAAGTTGTACTACGCTTCTGTAAAAGACAGGGTGAGGCAAACACCTCACCCTGCTACAGAAAAGGTAACTGAACTGTTTGAACTATTGCTGCTTTCTTGTTACATGTGGCACACTGAAAACAAGCTGGGGATCTATACATGAAGCACTGTCTCGTGAAATCAAACCAGAACTGAATTCTCATCTGCTTCAGACTGCTATGCAAATATGCAGCCAGAGCCTCTATAAACCTGACAGAACACAGAATGTTCTGCAAAGAGGGCACTACACTCATACTGCAAGCATTATTCAAATACAATACAATAGCTATGTTAGGAGAAACAAGGATTAAAGACAACAGCAGGTTTTGCCAGAATTTGTTTTATTATTATTTTGAGATACAGTCACAAATTTTAATGTGAAGAAATAGAAAAAGAACTAAAACAACTCAAATTGAACAAGAATGACAAAATTTTCTATTCAACTTAACAATGTAACAAAAGTAGAGACTACATGTAGTTGGCATGAACATTTTCTTAGCAGCAACTTACAGGTCATATTGGCCAACTCCTCCATGGTCCATGCTCTCACTTAACTGACCCTGGGGACAGGAGGAGTAGAAGGAAAATTAATTGCAACATAAGAAACAAAGCATAGTAAAAACAAATGTACTGATGTCTTTTACAGCTTCTTTACATGTATGGATATGTTAACATATATAGTTTTTGTTATATATGCACATACATACATGTATATAAGTTTAAGCGTCAAGAATAGTAAATTATGAGCAGAAGATAACAAGCCTACAAAATCCAGTGCAAGTGTTGCAACACTTCCACATATCTTAAATTCTGATACAGGAGGTCTGGTGGTAATCATATCCCAGTAGTAATAACACAGTTAAGCTTTATTCTGGTCCTGCATGCTTTTTCTGAACAATCATTCAGACAGATTAACACACAAATATTTCTAAAAAGGCTCAAGCACTTCAACACCAGGGCCAGATGCCATTAAAGAATGTAGTTCAATTTTGAAGACATATTTTCTTCAAATGATTTCCAGCTTGACCCCTTATGCAAGATAATACCTCTCTCTAAATGTGGCTCTACATGGCAGAAAAAGTGCAAAGCAAGCAGACAGCTGGAAGGAATACAAATAGAATTTAACAGACAAGCTTCTAGCAAACTTCAGACTATGACAGGTTACATTTTCAGTTTTAAAAATATATACATAAAACAGTGACTGCAAGTTAGTGAGGAACAGCCTTGAATCTATAGCCTGGAATGCGTTGCCAATCACAGAGTCCTGAAGTTCAAGTCTGATTCCAGGACAGAGGTTTGCTTGCTCACATCCCCTTGCTAACATTTATTAGAGAAATCCATTCCCCTGACATCTGTTTCACAACAGAACCTGCTAAATGTGCCCTTGACCCTACCATTAGACAACAGTGAACAAGTTCAAAAAAGCCACCAATTCAACAAACAGAATAAATGCCCATCACATTCCCAGAACTTCAGTGTCCGTCAGATCTCAGACAGACATGGACAATCACTACAAAAAACACCTTCCCCTTACATACGCTTCCCTAATGCTCACATATTCCCCACTCCCCAGTTCTGTTTTAACTTCAAGTCCATCCTAATCTCCCAAAAGGCACCCAAGTACTGCATTAGTTTGCCACTGTGCATTTGTATTCACAGAAGCTGGCCCACGAGTATTTTTTGTGCCACCCATTACAACCTGTTCTTGGCAATGCGGGCACTGTGACACGGCTGACGCTTGTAAAGCAGGTCCTGTATTGATTATTGGGGTGGCAGACAGTGCTTTTCCTGCAACCTGAGAACAGCCGTGCCTTCAGCTGTCAGACCACATCTCTGCAGCTCACGTGCAGTGTGGGTATTCCAGCTGTGCTTTGGGGTGTCTGCTAATCCCAAGGCCTCCAGCTGGTATTCAAACAGCACAGCACGAATGCAGCAGCAGCAGTTTAAGCAGTAGCAAATACTTAATATCACAGAATGGCCCAGATTGGAAGGGACCTTCATGAATCTCCAACCCCCCTGCCATACGCAGGGCCACCAACCTCCACATTTAACACTAGACCAGGCTGCCCAGGGCCCCATCCAAGCTGCCCTTGAACACCTCCACGGATGGACGAGGCATCCACAGCCTCTCTGGGCAGCTGTTCCAGCACCTCACTACTCTCATAGGAAAGAACTTCCCCTTGACATCCAACCTAAATCTTCCCTCGTTCAACTTCAAACCATTTCCCCTTGTCCTGCAGTTATCCACCCTTCCCAAGAGTTGACTCCCCTCCTGTTTGTAGGCTCCTTTTAGGTACTTGAAGGCTGCAATGAGGTCACCCCAAAGCCTTCTTTTCTCCAGGCAGAACATATAAAACAACAGATAAAAACAACAGTAGCACTAAAGAAATACCAACAGCCACCTTGCAACAAGACACCCAAAGGCCTTAACAGCATCTAAATGATCGTTACAGAAAAATAAACCACAGATCACGAAGTGACCCATCCGGGGAGGTGCGAGATGGGCACATGCGTTGATCCGCTCGGCATTTCAAAGCTTTGCTTTTGATTCTGGCGCCAGAGCGATCCCTTTATACAGTGCCAGACAGACGAGCACTCCCGCACTGACGTCCCCACATGTGACACCAAACCCCGCCGCCACGCTCGTGCTACAAAACCCACCGCCAACACATCAGGGAAAAACGCTCCGCCTGAACGCGACCGCTGTGCGGCGGAGGCCCCGATCAGGGCCGGAGCTCCCCGGGGCGGGGCGCGGCCTCACCTGCACGGGCCCGGGCCTCCGCCTCGCCTCAGCCGCTCCCGCCGCTCCCGGCCCGCCCCGCCGCCCCCCTCACGCCTCCCCCGTGCGCCGCTCCTCCCGGCGGCCTCCCGACCCGCCCGCTCAGACTCTCCGCTCTCACCCCCTCCTCCAGCTCCTCATCCGAACCCGCGTCCTCGGGCTGGTCCAGATCGATGTCGAACACGCCCGCCATGGCGCGGGTGTGAACCGAGGCGTCGCCGCCCCTTCCTCGCTGCGCTGAGTGCCCGAGGCCTGGGCCGCCTCATGGGCCCGCACCCCCCAACTCCGCCACGGCCGCCATCACGGCTGCCCGGCCTCACCGCGCATGCGCTCCCGCCCCGGCTGCGGGCGCCGCGCAGGCGCACAAACCCATCCTGCGGCGGCCGGGGCCGAACTGAGCATGCGCGGCGAGGGCCTCGGCCGGGAGGCGGGCGTAGAGCTGAAGCTGAGCACGCGCGATACGCGCCCACCTCCCTCGCTCCTGGCACGGAGCTTGCGTAGATGGTGCGGCGAAGCCGTTCGCTCAGAGCGTGCGTACTGCCCTCTGCGAAGCCCCGAAGCCCGCCGCTTGTGCCCGAACTGCCCGAAGTTCCCTCTGAGCATGCGCGCAGTAGGCCGTTCGAAGCGAGGCGCGGCGGGCTGGGGGCTCGCTGAGGCGCGCGTGCGCTGCTGGTGCTTGAGCGCTTCTGCGAGGTCAGCCCTGAGGAGGGGCTGCGGCGTGAACCCCGCCCCTCCTGAGCCAGCGTTGAGCTGAGGGGAGATCCTGGGCGGGAAGGACAGGCGAGGGGAGGTGGGCGTCCCTCCTCAGCTGGGAGGGAGAGGCGGCCGAGCGACGTGAGGGGCGGTGGGGGCGGTCCCAGAAGATGGCGGCCGCGGGGAGCGGGCGGGAAATCGGCGGCGCGGCGCTGTGAGGGACTGCGGCACCCCGGGGGCGGGAGCGGGCTGCACGGGGAGGTCGGTGCCACACGCAGAGGATTGCCTCAAAACTGCCATCTGCGTTCTTTGATCGGCCTTTCACTTCGGGCTGGAGTGCTGACAGTCGGTATTTCACCAGAAATAGCCGCTGGTTGTACTGCAGTATTTTCGTCCTTGCTAGAGGTTGTAAAAAATTACAAAAGTGATCGGAATTCTGCTTGTCAGAACCTTTTTAACTTTCCATCCCCCCCCCCAAAGGCATGCTTTTCTTTTTTTTAGGGCTAAACACGAGGTGAATTAGAATGTCAATAGTTGCAGTCCAGCTTGGCCAGTGTGGTAACCAAATTGGTCGTGAGGTGTTTAACACCATCTGTGGTGATGTCCGTGGCACACATGGGTTGTGTTCCAAGAAGGAGAATGAAGCCTACCACGATGCCTGTACAGAACGGTTTTTCAGCGAGGCAGAGTCTGGAGGTACAGCCTTTAGGTGTTTTGTGTCCCACAGAGGGTCTGGTACTGACATCATCCAAGTTCTACCTTCAGTCTGGAAGAACTGTCCCAACCTTCTGCCTTCCTGACATTGCTTACAACTTACAGAAGCAAAATAACAGCTGGTAGAATGTCTGAGACCATGAATTGTGTCTGCCAGTAATACAGCTGGAAATGGCACATGTATGCATAAACAATCTTCCCTTCCAAATATCCACATTTCCCACTGTAGGCAGATAATACCATGGAGTAGGGTCTGGACTATTTGAATCTAGAGTTAACAAGCAAACTGAGACATTACTTTCCCAAAAGATCCATGTCCCTGTTATTCAGATCTATCTTTAGTACTATCAGCAGTTCCCTTGAAATCCAGGACACTGCTGCATCCTGTTTTATGTTCTAGTTGGGGCTTATGTGGGTGGAAGGAATACAACTTGGGCCATGATGCAAGTCTGTATTTCACATAAGCAAGTTGTGATATTGGCACTTAGTTTTGTTTCTCTTCCCCATACAGTACCTATTGCCCGGGCTGTGCTTGTTGACATGGAACCTAAAGTAATCAGCCAAACTTTATCAATAGCTGCCCGGTCCGGCCACTGGAAATACGACGATCAGTCACACTTCTGTCAGAAGCAAGGCTCTGGGAACAACTGGGCAAATGGGTAGGAATCATCATTTCCAGCTTCACTACCAGAGCTGTAGGGGATAATGAGCTGTCTGTGCTCTCTAGGAGTGATACTGTTGCAGCTGTGTGAGAAACACTGTTTAATGACTTTAGGTAGAGAAACAGTACATACAGCAACATTTCTACACTGCTTTTTGCAAAATGAAATTGGTATTTACAGGGAAAATGTAATGGCTTAGAATATGTTTAACAATGGGTTAACAATAAGCACAATTTATAAACAGCTCTTTTGCAAAATAAATGCCACAGCTGAGAATTATTTACTACAAGTAGAATGAGTGACACAATGCCAGGATATATTGGTAATACAAAGAAAAGTACCCTTTATGAATTGGCTGACCTTACTGCCTTTATATCACCTGCCATTTTTCTTCCTTTATTCTACAGTTATTCTGTTCACGGGCCTAGAAACAAAGAAGTAATCATGAATCTAGTGCAAAAAGAAGTAGAGAAATGTGACCGACTCAGTGGATTTTTCACAATAATGAGCATGGCTGGTGGTACAGGTTCTGGCCTAGGAGCATTTGTGACTCAGTGTTTAAGAGATGCTTTTCCAACCTCGTTTATACTAAACCACGTTATCTGGCCCTATGGCACTGGTGAGGTGAATGTCATTTTTCCCAGAGATATTTTGCAAGATTATAATTGTGATCATAGAGGAATGGAATTAAATAAGCTGTTTGCTTTTCATGAGTAAAACAAAATAATGCAATGCAACTGAAATAAACTAGAAAAGAGAAACACTTCATTCTTTGAAAGTTCCACATGACACAAAGGAATTTGTTTGCCTCATATTTGGTAGTTTAATGTAGTTTCATTAAAAAAAAAAATCAAAATTATCATCCATCAAATAAAAAAATCACGGATATCTCAAGCTTGTAAGAAAACATTTAACATGTACTTATAAAAGCGCTATGGTATAATGCAGTTTCATGAGAAGTTCTACTAGCTATCTAGAAATCTCTTATGACAGTATCTGAGCATGGTAATCAGTTCCCAGACAAGTTTCATTCTGAACTGAGATGAGTAACATGTTTTTCATAGGTCTTGCTCCATTTCCATGAAAAAGCTGTGACGGCTCCTGACCTTATTCTGCACTTTGGCAAAGAAAATGAATCACTTCCTTAACCACAACAGAGTAAATGACAGTAGCCAGAGGAATATATTAAACTATAGAAAGAGATCAAGTTGTTTGACTCTCATGTAGTGTTTTTTTTTGTTTGTTTTTTCTTTTTCCAGGTCATTGTTCAAAACTATAACTCTGTTTTGACTCTGTCACATCTGTATCAGTCATCAGATGCTCTTCTTGTTCATGAAAATGATGTCATCCACAAGATCTGTGCTCAACTGATGCATATTAAACAGATTTCCTTCAGGGATGTAAATCAAGTCATTGCACATCAACTGGGGAGTGTTTTCCAGCCTGCTCACACAGCAGAAGCTGGCTTACACTACAGCAGAAACCCTTTAGGTATCTAACTGCATTGTAGATACTTAAGGCATTCTTACACATCTTTCTGTAATCATTTCATTCTGGGTACTTAAGTTCTTCAGTCTCTTTTACTCAACTATTTGGATATAACCCAAGCTTAAGATAGTAAAAATAGACAGGGAAGTGAAAGACTAACTTAGTAATTCAACCCTAATTTTGTAGCAGTCAAAAATAGATAACCAGCTTCTCGTTTCGTTCTTTACCAAAAGACTCATGTTCCTTCTTTTTCAAATGACTACCACTCTTGTACTCATTTACCTTTCAGAGGAAATTTCTGCCTGGCAGTAATTTTAGACTGAGTTTTAACATTTAACATTAGGTTAGAAGTTTGTACAATCAAAATGCTAGTTTTGTGTTCAGCTCAGAAAACACACTAGCATGCAACCTGGTAGCAACAAGCAACTGGCTTGCGAAGAATCTGCTTGTAAAATTAAGCTCTCATTTTCCTTTCCACCTCTTCAGAAGCATAGAAGGTCCTTAAGATTCTGAGCTAGACTAAAAGGAGGACAAGTCTAAATTGTAAAATAAGAGCTGTTAAATTCCTATATAAAAAACTCAGTGGTAGGTTGTAAATCTTTGCATTTTGTCAGATGCGTCTGTATATTTGTTAAATTTAAATTTTACATATTCTGCTTTCTTACCTTCAGTTACTGATCTTTGTAAAATCCCTCATGCTCTTCTTCTATTTTAACTAGCCTATGTGATATTTTTGTCAAACATGAGCAGCTGTTATTTCTTTCTTTTTTTTTTTCCAGGAGACTTAATGGAAACTTTAGTTCCACATCCTGAATTCAAAATGTTGGGTCTCCGTAACATACCTCAGATGCCTGAAAACTCCCTTGCATTTAGTTCATTCAGTTGGCCTGGACTCCTCAAACATCTGAGGCAAATGCTCATTGCTAATGCTAAAATGGAGGAAGGTAAGAAGCACTCACTCAGCCATCACTCTTTAAGAATATATCTTTACAGTTGAAATAAAGCTTACTGTTTTGTGGGGCTCACTGATTTTAGTCACTCCTTTCAGAAGCAAGCTGCTGCCCTCAGACAGCAGGAATTTGCCTCCACATAGCCAGCTGCTTCTGCACTATTCACTCAGCTGCCACTCCTGGCTTGCTCATGTTTTTGCTCCCAGACATCTCAGTTAATTATAACTATTGAAAATATGCAAAACAACAGTTTTTGGTCATGCACTTAATTTACGTGATTCATTTGGAACATTCTTTAAATCATGTGTTTACTATGCTTTTTCTTGTTATACCTACTAATAAAAATCATATGCTTAGCTTTCCCATATCATTTACATTGAGAATTCAGCAAAGCTTCCACTTATGCAAAGAATGGGCTGGCAGATTGCTAACTACAGAAAAAAAGTATCCATTTCTCTGGTAAGATTAGTGACTACCAGGAAAACACTGCTGGCCAAGCTCGGTTTTCCTCTGAGAATTGTGTAATTGCTGCTTAGTCGACATGCAGAAACTACAAAACTTAGTATGATTTCAGCTTGGGACACAGAGTTAGTCTGAATCTGTATTTCATGAAACATTAACTTTGTTTTATAACTTGTTTGCAAAAATCTTGTAGGTATTGATTGGCAAGTACAGCCGCCATGTCCAGGCAACTCCATCTCCTCCAGTCATTCCACAAACAAGCTGCTGCATTTCAATACTTCCATTGCCAACCTGGTCATCCTGCGAGGAAAAGATACACACAGTGTAGACTTAGGTGAGAAGGAAGGGCACAACATCTCAGTCATTTGTTTCACATCTCAACTGTTTTCTTCGCGTGAAAGTGAAAATAAAAAAAGGTCATGTATTTGACTAATGAAATCAGTATTTCCTCTAGAAAGATGTTAATGTGCAAGGCCATGTGTAATTAGTTAGGACTTTTGTAATTACAGCTAAGACTTCTATATTAACTGAAGAGTTGTAGGGAAGGACAAAAAGACTGAAGTCTATATATACAGTAGAATTCTTAGCAATATTGTCTGAAAATACATTTTTCTGCTTCTGGAATGACAAGCATACCTCACATAGGAAGTACTGACAGCAGAGTACACTCCTAGGTAGTATAACTGTTCCAAACATTCAGTACACTTGAAACTGACCAGACTTTTCTCAAGGGCTGAACTGATCCACTGAGTGCTGATTAGGTCACATGGGACTAATGAGATCAAGATGCAAGACCCTGTAGCTTTACATGTATCAAAATATTTACATTTATCTTATTTCCACTACAGGAAGTTTCCGAGATCCCTCATTATATACATCATGGCTAAATCCTCAGGATGCTTTTAATGCGTGGAAAACCCCAAGAGCATTTAATAAGTATGAGAAGTCTGCTTCTCTGGTTAGCAATAGCCAGTTCCTGCTGAAACCTCTTGACAGTGTTGTAGGAAAAGCTTGGAATATGTTTGCTTCCAAGTAAGTGAAAATAATTCTGTTCATTTCCTTTATAGCTGACATTATCTTCAGTGGTAGCAAAATCAATGCAGAGAAAATCTCTTTCAGCAAAGTAATGGTGAATGAACTTGAATACTGTTCCCACACTTCAGCAGAAACATTTTTTCACTTCAGACATGATGGCAGGGTGCTTACCTTGCACAGAACAGTGCTTATTTTCTGTGGATTAGCAATACCACATATTCTAGGGCTATTGATTTGGTCATTTTCTCAGTATTCTAGCTCCCTAAACTTAGTGCATTCCAGATTGCCCGTTCTAAAAATAATACATAGAAACTCTTTTACTGATCATACAGTTTCTAAATTATATACAGACGTGCTTCACATTCCAGGAAACAAGTTCCTGGCTCAGTTCAAAAACACTAAGGGGATAGAAAATGATTGCCTCTTTACTTGGTCACCATGAACCCAAGGTAACTGGGTGTCACAGCAGACACCTGATAAACAGGAATTCAGTGATTAAAAGTCAAAGGAGAAATACTGCATTTACTAGCAGTGTTCCTATTTTTACCACCCTGCTTCAAAAACAGCATTGATGGGAAGCAAACTATCCTGTACACACAGGTTTAGGCTCTACATCTCTACTTCATAAATTACTTTTCTCATTTAATCATCATAGCTCCTTCCATTTCCCAGTTAGCTGAATTTTGTTAGATGCAATTCTGTCTCATTAAGCAGACATTTCAAAGTAATAAATGCTATTAGAAATAAGTCATGATTTATCAGTAAGTATGAATTACAAAATGAGTTCAAGAGAGAAAGGTGAAACCTAACCACCAAAATCCATTTGAATTTGTTACAGCAACTATACAGTCTAATTGAATGTGTCAGACTCTTCATAGATTTCTAACGTCTTGCCTGTTTTTCTACTGTGACTTCAACACACAGGGCCTACCTTCACCAGTACACTAAGTTTGGAATTGAAGAGGAAGATTTTTTGGACAGTTTCACAGCTCTGGAACAAGTTATCTCCAGTTACACCAACCTTTGATTTTTGAAATTGTTTCTTCCTGAAAGAACCCAGCACTGGAAGACCTTCCATCAACTATCAAATATATAAATTACTGGACTACAACTATTAGTTAATCTTGTGAGCAAGGCATGCATGTGTTAGAATCAAACTGGATGAGAACTGAGTATGTTTATATGCACAGATATTATTCCTATTTAACAGATGTAGTAGCTGTTTTCCAAAACAGCTGATATCTGTTCTAGCTTAATCTTTGAATGTCATTTTCAGAACTTGCATATTTTTAATAAAGAATTTCTATACAGAAGGGCTTCCCTCTAGGCATTCCAGCTCCTCCAGTTCCAATTTTTCATGCTAACATTTTGCCCTGGAATGCTTTAAAATTGATAAAAACACACACTATCAGCATTATTAAGCCAGACTCCATTTGGGTATCATTCAAGAGACAACAGTCTGCCACATGGTGCTTTAAAGCAAAGTAAGGCTTAAGTCCTACTTCAAGGCTTAAAACACTGGAAGTTCTGAACCATCTGGGAAGAAAAAAAAGAAACCACAACAAAACACCTGTGAATGGGGGTCTTCGTTTTCTTTGTATCCTCTATTAAAGATCACAATGGATTCCATGTTTTCCATACATTTACAGGGAAAACCTTAACTCTTGCTCTTCCTCCTGTATTAGGAGAGCAAGCAGGTGTTCTTTTTTAAATCTACTTTTTAGTACTTAAAGAGATTTGGGAGGAGAATTGCCATTAGATTACAGATGGATAACTCTGTAATGTTATAATGTAATTTCAAAATTTAAGAACCAGGCTTTTTATTTTCTCGACAAATGTTACAACGACCACAAGGTGGTGCCAGCGTGAAACTGCAGCCTGCAAACATAGCAGCCAGGTAGAGAAGCAAAAGTGACCAAAAACCACTCAGATGAAAAAAAATCAGATCAATCTCAAGGACTTTTCCTTTGAGAAGTGGACAAATATCACAGTTTCAGTTTAAGTCTCGGAGTTATTTCACTCCAGGCCACTGAGTTTTTAACTAAAAGATGAGCAAGCATGTAGAACAGTAAATATGTTAAGGGCATTTGCAACATGGCCTGCACAGAAGTCTTGCCCTGTAAGAAATTCTAATCTAGATTTTAAATCTGCAGTGACTTAACACAGCAGTAGATGCAGAAATGCCCTTGTAATTCTGCTGGGCTTCAGTTAGAGGACAGCAGACACTGTATATTATCTATACTTCCTTTCCTGGTTTCATTTACCTCTTCATTTTTGTTCAGGTCAGGAACAGAAGTGCTAAAATCCATCCAGGAACAGCTGTTCTCAAAGTAGCTCAGGAGCACGAGATCTGGAAAGATAAACAAATCTGACATGATCCAAGTAACTGTACAACTGACTCTGGAGAAAGTACTGGGGTAAGTTCACAATTGCTCAAATACAGAAGCAGCAGCAGCTGATCACTGTCATGGATGTAATTTCAATGCATGCCACAGTGGATTCTGATACATTTCATGGGAGTTTAAAGACAAACAATGTTAATCTCTAGTGCCTTCAGAAAAAAATAAAAATAAAAATAAAAATTCAGGAGGGAAGACAAAGAAAACAAGTGGGGTAAATACACTCAAGTGACTTTTCATATTAAAAGATGCTTGATGTGTATGACAACACATTTTGACACTATTCTTCTTACAGACCAGAATGCACCATCCAACACTCAGCTCACTTTGCCTTCTCTTTTCACTCAGCTGCTTCAATTCCTGTTTTAGCAATTCCTTCTCAAAAGGAGGACACAATAATCATGGTTCAATTATCCAGATATACTTCATTTAAAACCACATATAGTTTTTATAGACAATTATTTGTGATTATTTAATATTTTTTTCACTAAGTTACATCCTGTCAGCTCAGAGATAGGGGACTGTTACGATCAAAAGGGATTTTCTAGTGTTATGTTTTTGTCAATTGAAATATTAAGCTGGGTGGGTATTCTCACACAATAAACTGGAGGAAAGATTGCACAAAACATCAAGAGAACCAGCTCGGGCAGTTCAAGTTTGCAAAGAGCAAAGGGTTAGGAAAGCAAGCAAAACAGTGAGGTTCTCCTTCCCCCCTTCAAAACGCACAGGATACTTAGCAAAAGTAGAAATCATTTTTCCTAGTGTTAGCTACAGATACTGTTGTCAGACTAAGGATTTCTTCGAGTGTCAGAAATGAAAACAGGTAACTCCATTTCTGACTGAGTCCCAGGGATGGATATTCTTCCTCATTGCGATGCTGTGTTACAAAAGAGCTTTTAAACAGCTACAACAGGTTAAGTCCTCTCCGCAACAAGGAAGAGAGCTGTAGGCTATTGTACTGCTACATAAGTAACTTGCAGAAATACCACTGCATTATGTCTGTGTATTTACAATTCCAAGCATGAAGCAAATGCAGCAGCACTTACTGCAGCCACAATGACACAGAGCCATTCACCCATCCCTTACAGCTGCATCTATTCTTTAATGGAGTATGTCACTTTCAGTTAACAAAGGAGCATATTTGGGTTTTTGTTTGTTTAATGGCTTAGCTATGCCACAAAATTCATTGTTGCTTAACAAGATGCCAATCAAATTTTGAATTTTGACAACGCAGATTTCTTGAAGCTACAGAAATTGGAGGTAGAAACAGAACTGTAACTGTTGCATTAGCTCTTACGATCACCTCGATTTCACTTGAGGTTGACAGGAATTATTTTTGGCTTCTCCAGGTCTCTTCCTGCCAGCGTTTTTTGCTGCTGACCTCAGTTTTGAGACTCACACCCTCTCCCAAACTAAGCCTTCATCTGTGGCTGAATTCCTCTATTTTTTCCCCAGGATGTGGAGAGCAGAGGGTCAAGTGGCAGGAAGTGAATAACTATTCTCAAGTATACATCATCTCAAATTATACTAGAAGGTGGAGAATTCTTTCTTTATTATTGTTTTATGGAGAAAATTAGTTGGGTAAACAAGAGCCTGAGCCTGGCAGAGGGCCGTTACTTCATTAGCAGCTGAAATGAGCAAGGTAGATCAAAGGCCATTCCCAAGGCAATGGTGAACTGAGGGATGGCAGCACCAGTGGCCCTGACCCCACTGCTTTTAGGCAAACTACCCACAGGAAATTCATGAACCATGGAACAATGCATCAAATCTCACTATTGTTTGCTGTCATAGACAGGTGCAAGTCCCCTGGAAGTTGATTCAAGGACTAACTATAGCAGAAATACTGAGTGAACAGGATAAGTTTATTTGGTCACCAGAAAAAACAGGACCTAAGTTACAAGTACTTTAAAGACAGTGACTTTAAAGACAGTGACAATGATGCAATTTATTTGGACTTGTTTGTAAAGTAAGAATTCATAGAGGCAAAAAAAGGATACGAACCATAAAAATGGACTTTTAGGGGACTTACCAGCATGGAGTTAGCAACAGGAACAGTTCCAGATTAAGGGCAAAAACCAGAATTCTGCCAATATGGAAAAAGGAAGTTGTGTGCGAATTAGCAGCTGGTACACAACTGGGAAATGTTAGGGTAAAAAAGGTATTGAATGATTCATTCATTTCCTTTGGCATTTGTTAATAAATTCAGTATAAGTGCTATGAAATGACAACCCAAACATCCTAAAGGAAGTACTCTCGGATGTCAAAGTGTACTTTAAGGAAGCCTGAGATTTGCTGGACACAGCTTTAAAAGCTGAACAACAGCCACCAGGAACATGATTTGTGGATATGTTGTATTACAAAAAGCTACAAAAAGAGCAGAGCTGCTGCCATTTCTCTACTGCTTTCAAGGGCACCCCAGCCACACTTTTACCAGTGCAGCAAATTCCAGTGTAAGCTTCTTCCTCAAGCCAGCAGCACGGCTTGGACACTCCGACAGCTTTTAATGCGCCTGGATGCAGAGCTGATAATCCCAAATTTTAACTGCAGAGCCTTTCCGGCTCTTTCACTCAAACTGGATGTTCACAATGGCCCCTTCTGAGCACACATTGTATGAATCCTCTCCCTCCAGACAGCCACTTCCCCTCTGTCCGGGTGGGTAATGAGTCACCCACCTCTGTGAATCAGCAGAACAAGCTTAACCCCTTCCCAGAAGCACCAACAGCTGCACATCGGGTGGTGTTTCAAACAAATGTTATTGCCAATGATACAGAGCAAGCTGGAAAAGTCTGGAGATGGCTAGAGGAAAGAGATTAGCAAGGCCACAAGGTTTCATGAGATAGAAAAATAAGAAAAATGAGGACTTTCTCTTGGCCAAAACTCCTCTCAATATTTCCTGTTTCAGCTTCAGGAAGCAGTGAGCTCCCTTCACTAATTATATATGATGAGAAACAAGTGCCATCGTAAACAGTGTATGTGCACTTAAATGAGTGCGTTCTCCAGAAACAATTATTGTACCTACTTGGTTACGCATATGGTATAATGTTTATTCAAAGGCTCACATGAGTACAATTCAGTTGCCTGAGAATGGTGTAGCTGTGGTCAGATGACATGATTCAGTTTGAGCCTTTGCCCAGCAAGCTCCTATATGTAACAGATCAGTGACTGGAGCGCGTGAGCAGCACACCACCCAAGGAGCCAAATGGAAAGCAGCCTCATCCCACACACTGAAGGTGTAATGAAACACTGACTCTGTAATTCTTGGTTGGCAAGGGCAGCAGTAGAGTCATTGTGGCAGCCTCAGTCAGAACAGTCAGAGCTGGGCAACAATTCAGAGCTGCTACTCAGCTCCAAACAATACCGGGTTCACTATGAACTCCCATATAAAAGTGGAATAGCTGTTTCTACCACTTGCAAAGAGTACACTGGGGTATTTATTTCCTCCTCACCCCACATGGAGCAGCTCCTACATGACTGAGTCACCAGGTCTGCATGTATACATGCAGCTATTTGATGCCATAAATCATGTCCCTCCCTGCGAGAACTTAACTCAGCTTTTCACATCATTTTCCTCTGTAAGACTGTCTCCAAACTCAGTATTTTCACTGTGGAGAATTATATAAAAAAAATAGATGTGAACCAAACGCGTACTGTGATAAAGTAACTTATTTTTCATCAACAAAGGAAACCTGAAATTGCACATCCATGTGGGATCTCACTCAAACTGCAGAAAACTCCACTCAAGAAACAAACTCCAACTCGTACAGAGAGCACTGAGCATGACAGGCAGTTGGGACTGCAGGAACTGAGCAAAGAGCCATCAGCTCACCAGGAGTGAGCATCAGTCTGCCATCAACACCAGCACCTTCATTACTCAATCAGAATGACCAACCCTCTGTTACAGCCAAATCCTACTGCAAAAGGACAGCACGGATTTCCAACTTAAAGACATATGGAGTTCACAATCTCCTGGATGTGAGATATCTTCCAGACAGGAGTGATTCTCCATTATAGCAGAGAACAGTAAAATGACACACACTACCAATGCCGCGGGGAAACAAAATGCTTAAACCACTTGGGGAGACAAAATCAGACCTGTGGGGCTCCTCTGTCACATGTAACTTTAAAAAAAAAAAAATAGATTATGCCTTAAATTGCTGGTATTAAGGACAGAGGATCACCCAAGCAGGAGAAACACAGAAGTCATCAATCTGTATTTCTTACATGGACTGAACAGCAGTTTCTGGGGCCATCAGGAGGCAGGGGTGGAGTGGAGCAGTTATCAGAGCAGGAACAATGCACAGAGCTCACAAGTCCTATCTTTTGCCTTTCACCAGGAAACAGCAGTTCATTTCCTTATTGCCAATTGCCTGGGCATCACATTTCAGCTTCTTGGGAAACCAGAACAATTAAGGGAGGAGCAACTCCCCCGAACCACGGGAGGTGCTGCACACTGACATATCCATATCTGAACAGCTTAAATGAGGTTTAGAGAGAAGCGACCTTTGATTTAATGCTCATGTAGTCAATGCACAGAATCATTCCTTAAGTGAACAGTAATAAAAACCCCTCCAGCAGATTAAAGAGCAATGTGAAAGGCAAACTAAAACAAAGACAGCCTGTTTAACAGGTTCACGAATATTTTTCAAACAACCGAACATCACCAGCAGTGTATATGCAGAACAACTTCAGAGCCCAACAGGCTGAACCCAACACAGAGCTGCCTGCAGCATTTTTGACCAAAATAGCATTGTGTTGAATTCCTAGTGTGTGCCCAAAGCCCATCACAGACTGCTGGGCCTTTCCTGTCTGCCTTTAGTTGGAAGGGCAGATGGTTTTCCGGACATTGATATCCATTTCTACATTTGAGCTCCTCTCACTGGCTCAGGTTGTGACATCTCTCCTGCTCACACTGAGACCAAACAGCTGCCTCTTGGGAATGCTGAGTACATGCAGCCACCAAGTCAAACAGAGGAAGAAACGTGAGGCTGCAGATCTGTCCTCAATGACACGTGTGAACTTCAAAAGTCACAGCAGGATCAGGAGGTTCCTGCATAATCTCTTTAAAAATGAGTTTGCAAGGAGCATAGGCAAATATCTACCCTCTATCTTATTCAGGAGGCATTGGGGGTGTTCCACAGAGAGCGATCACCAGACCCCTGCTTCCCCCTCGGTTGCACTCGGTGCTGCAGTCCCATGACCCCATTGGTAGGGGAAGCACTTACTGTTGGGAGTTTTTTTTCCTTCTCCTGCTCCAAGAAATAAAAAACACAAACTTGCAAAAAAAACCAAAAAAACCCTCAGAACTCACAATCCCAGATGAGCCACCTCCATTACCTCCATGACTGCAATCAACCTTACAACTGCTGATGATAAGTATTTTTTAACCATGTGTTTCAAAGACAACTGCCATTATTTTTACCTCTAGGACTACCCCCAGCCACCACTTATTTTTACACCTGCAATACGCTTTGTTCACTACCAGTCATGTTTGTGCTTGATAAGCATGTAATGATCCACAGTATTCTTGTTTGCAATTAGTGCTGCTTGGAGTGAGGAGGAAGCTGGTTCTAATGAATTAAATAATGAAACCCCAAAACAAAGCAGAGAGGAACGCTGAGGAACAGCACTGAGCCCCTCAAGTATCAGTGATGGGTGTCTGTCAGCACAAGCAGCAGCAGGGAAAGCTCAGCTTGCATTACTGGGAACCACTGGGATGGAGGTAGGAACTGCAGATGGAGCAGTTCCTGTTTGCTGTGATGGAGCAATGTGGGACTGGTGATTCCATTTAGCACAAAGCAGTGTGACCTTTTCAACTTATCCATCAGATAAAGCATAGTGAAGTAATTGAGGCTGTTGCTCTTTGCAAACAGAGCTCACTTTGGGCCTTACCCACATCAAAATCCATGACTGACTGCTTCCAGTGCACAACTGAAAGTATTCCTGATAAAACCATTGGCTAAGGCAGCAAAACACATCCAGATGAGATGTGAAAGGCTCTGGGCCTTTCTCTGTAGCCACAAAATACACTGCGAACACAACTTATCTTCACACTCACCACAGAACACTTGGGATAACAAATTTCAAAGTGTAACCAAATTCAATACACAAAAAAGGAAACAATCCAGCTGGAATAAACATGAGGAATCTGTTACTTGTTTATTTAAGCAAACATAGCACTCTTCATTTTCACAACCTTACCTTGTATTAACTTTTACCAAACCTTAATATCTCCCGTTGCTGAAAAAGTAGGAGGAAGGAGAACGAGCAGTTCCTCTGTTAAACGCTTTCAGAAAGATTCAAACAATGGCACAGCTCATCGGAGTGGTCGTGTACAACGTGACATGAATAACTGCATGTTTGTTTCTCACTTTACTTTTCAATGTGCAAACAGATTGAAATAAAAGGGGGGAAGCTGTGAGTTTATTCAGCAACTTTTCACTAATCAATGGGCAAAGAGGCATCATTACAAGTAGACTGCTAGGGCATTCAGAAAGTTACCATTTATTGGCTCAAGGGGCTTCTTCCATCCCTTTTTAATTATTAATACAATCTCAAGATGCCCTCAAGATGGCATAGACTCCTATGAAAGGCCTTAAGACACTACTGGAACTGCAAAGTAAAAGTAAACAGCAGCATCCTATGAACAAATGGCAAATTTGAGGGAAAAAAACAATGGCACAGAAGCAAGAAAGGTTGTTAACAGCTGTTTTACTAACCCAAACACGCTGAAGAAAAACGAAACAAACAGCCATGAGCTGCTGACATGAGTTACTACAATGTGCAAAATTAAACTTTTAGCAGACTGAAAAAAGCAAAGTACCAAAAAGAGCTTTTTTTAAATTTTATTTTGTGAATGTGTATTGCATTAGAACAAGTTCTTTGCTATGTAATTGTCAAAGAGCTTATTTAGGCCCAAAAGAGAAAAAGCCACCAGGGCCAAGAATTCAGAAAAACTATTCACCTCTTAAAACTCAGCAGAGGCAAATGAAGGGCATTATTGAGTTTAATGGCCTCATGCTGCCTCCCCTCCTGTTGCTTTTAACTACCTCCCAGCACTCAGGGCTTCAAATATTTAAATATTACATGGCTACATTAAGAAAAGTCCATATTTAAAGCCTCCCCGTTCACTCAATAATGTTTGAAGTTGTACACAAAGCATACAAGATAAACATTACAAACCTGACACACAACCGAGATGGAGCTTTAAGAGATGCTTCGGACGCAGCTTGCCACACTGCATGGCTGGTGTACTCATTTCCATCAAAACTGAAAAACATTTATATGCCACTGATGTTCAATGAAAACAGCTGGAGATGGATGAGGGAACGGTCAGATGAGAGATACCAAAATGTCAGACAGCCTACCGACTGTTGTTGCCATGAGATCCAACAGTCAACATCAGTCTGATAAGCTATCCGACAGGATGGTACAGCCATGGGGATGTCACGACGGCCGGCAACACAGGAGGACATTCAGGCAGGATTGAACAAAATCCTTACTCTCACACCTTGCTCATGATCTGCCCTAACCTAACGCAGGCATAAACATACAACCCAAGCAAGAGCGAAATCAAGCCTGCCTCGTGCTTGTGTGCCACCTGTTGATAATGCTAACTGAAAGTCAAATTAACTCCTAATCCCCCCTAGGCTAAAAGTCAAAAACAATAGATCTAAAATTACAGGAGTAGTAATACATACACAGCAGCAGTGGTGTGGCTGTCTACTTTCTAAAGAGGAAAGAGATCTGATTTAATATGGATTACGTTCACATACATTAAAATCAACACACTGACTTAAAGCAGTATCTTATAAGCATCTGAATTTTCAAGCCTAAGTGTGAGGTTCTCTATGGCTCCACATACAATTGCTGGGTTTGACACCAATTCTCTGTGTTCATCTGGAATCTTTACACTTCCCCCTTCTCCTTCACAGCTCACGATGTTGTTATCAGTGGCAAACATCGACCAACGATTTATGATAACAATCATAGCTAAACTCGCCTATTTTAAGCAGTGAGCCATACTCCACCCAGTGATACACCTTCTACTTTGTTCCGATAAGAAGTTCTTAAGAAAAAGGGAAAAAAGAATAAAGGGTGGTTTCAGCACCATTTGTGCAGGAAGGATGAGTAAAGCATGCAACCCGTGGGATTAAGGCTTAATAAAGACGAAACTCAGCATACAAAAGGGGAAAGGAAAAGAAACAGCTTAAAAAGACTGACACAAGAAATTCTGGAATGATCAAAGATGACTTTATAAAGTTTTATCTTAACTTCATTCTAAATATACAGAATAAAAAAATGTCAGCTTCAGCATTTTGACATCAATCATCTCTGCTAACATCGTGACGATTAAAGGGCGGCTTTTCCAACCAAGAGCACGTGCAATGCAATGGGACACCAGAGAATTCAAATGGAATAACCTTACCACGAGGGACATGCAACAGTTTTTATCCAATTTGTATTCATTTATATACATCTTGATGGTCTTGAAAGTTAAGGTAAAAAAACAAAAGAGCCGCCCTTCAAAATAAAGGTTACCCTTAGGTCAGTCTGAAATGAAATCAGGAAATACTAAACCATCGGTTTTGGAAGTAATTCGGATGGACAACATCTGTGTTAAGCACAATTTAACATCACCTTGTCCATGCCATATGATACAACTCAGATGTATAAAGCATTCATACCTTACCTTAACACCTATAAGTTTTGTCAGTGAAACGTCTGTTCTAATAGCCAAATTATTTTCAAAATAAAATAAAAACCTGCCTTAGTTCAAAGTTGATGTTAAAAAGTTTTCCCCCATTTTGAATAATGCTGAATTTTATACGTATGGAAAGAAGCGTCACTTTTTGTCTGCTAAAGCCCATTCACAGTTCTTTTTCCAAGCTCATTTGGTTTTCTCTTCGGAGTACATCTTCTGTTGCAGCCTTTTGGCATAGCTTTGGGCCATGGAGTTGATTATAGATAAGATAAAATAACAAACCATGACAATCACCAATTTTTCAAACATCCACGACAGCCAGTTTTCACCCTGAAGAAGACAAAGACAAAACAGAACAAGGAGGAAAACGGAGATTAGTGGACAGCACAAAGGCAGTTCTCTCCATTTTATAAGTGAAAGGGAAAAACCTGAACATCTTTTTAGAACTAATCTATCAAATTGAAAACAGGAACCAAGCTATATGTACAGCTGAGTTTGGTCCCTGGAAAGACAAGGCACGGGGGGCTGCACCCACACTGCAGGGCAGACAACGAACCCTTGCTTGCTCACCCTGTGCTGATGAAGTGATGTATTATTCCCAGTGTTGGTTGGTCTCTGCTAACAGTTCAGAGAGTTTGGAATTAAAAATCCCCAACCACCAACTGTCTTGTTCATTGCAAACAAAACAGTAAGTCCACTGGTTAACAACGGTTTTTTTCCTAAACTGTGCATATTCCCATTAATATCAGATTCTTCTTCTTCTAAAGGTTAACAAGATGACATCCGCAGTCCCACTCCATTCCCCCACTGCTCCTCACTGCTGCTTTTTGTCAAAGGAGGGCAGCACTGCACTGCACTGCACAACAGTCACATCAATGCAAATGAGAGGTATCTCCACATTTACTTATCCCAGACTGATTCTCCCTAATTGAACCTCTTTTCTATTAAGAAATTGGTCAAAAAACATTCATAAGAGCTCCAATTACTACTGAGCAGTTAGTTAGATTAATGGGCTTGGGTGAGTGGAGCTCGTTACAAGTTTACAAACTTGCTCCGTCGCCACTAAAAATTTTTGGGTTTTTGCACTGCTTTGTATGAAAGGGTACTTCTGCCCCTTTGTCCCAACACCAAACACTGTATCTTTCTTTTCCCTTTTGGACACTGACCCCCGTGGATTCTGTTTCTCTCACTGGCCATTAAGTGACAGAACCCACTGCCTTCCCAAGCACTGGTACTGACACAGTTTACCATCACTCCTCCTCTAAGCATAACTTCTTTCTGCTTTTATTTCTCCTTCAAAATAGACACACTAACAGAGAGGCAAGATGGGCCATCAGTCTTATTTTATTGTTTCCTGTGTTATTTAGGAGGTTTGCATCTATTGCATACAAATCTTTTATTATTGTTAACTCCCAGGTTGTTTTTTAAATTACTATTCAGCTATTTCCTGGGCCACTGCAAAACCCTTCACAAAGAATAAAGAGTTAAATTGGCAAAGCTGACCCAGGGAGAAGGCAGAGGGAGGAAAAGTTCACTGGGGAGGCAGAGAGGCTCTTACCTGTGGCACACCGGCGTCGTGTTTGTGGTGGAGTTTTATCCTCTGAGCTTCCAAATATTCTTGAAATGGCTTCTGAAGAGAAGGACCTATACTTGGAACAGCACTGATGCAATATTTTTTTCCCAGGGAACAAGACAAAATAGAGGAGGAGAAAAAAAAACAGAAAAAAACCCATACATATTAAAAAAAAAAAAACAACAACAAAACTTACCACCTTGACCCAAACAGAACAAAGTTCCAACTGAGCTACAGCTACAGCTCAGAAGTGCTTTGCTGCTTGGGAAAGCAGATAAGCACAAAATAAAGTGTATTTTATCTTTAATCTGATACTTCTGGAAGGGACATGTTTCCCCAGAGCTTCAAAATGTTTAAAAAGAAAAATATTTCAGAGCGAATCAGTGATAATACACTGTTGGTAACACAGAAAGAAGCAGTGAACAAAGTTTCCTTAAAGCCTGGGAGAGGGCAGCCAGGGCTGTGCGCTGATGTGGTGCTGAGAATGAAATGAATGACTTCTCAGAAGTCCCACATTTATCACCAGCAGTTCCTGTAAGAACTGGTTTGAACCGATTAATAAGGAAATGACTTGTGCTTGTGTCATCCCCCAGTTAAAAAAGAAACTGCTCGCCCTATGACTTGCCCCTATCTCCTCAAAGGAGACGGCCCCTTTCTCAAACTAAGTCCTTATTAGGACAATCTGTGCGTCATCCTTATCCAGAAAGAATGCATTAGCAAATTCTGCAGGCTCCTCCCATCGGTCAGTGATTAACAAAGGAACAAAGAGAGAACTATGAACCCTGTTCTGAATCATTTCATGCTTTATGGCAGATGACTTGCACAAAAACTGCAATACGTTACTGAACACCTTGTTCCTACATTCACATTATAAAGATTGACAAGAGGTTTTTGGAGCTGCGAACGCTCTCCCAAAGCACAAAGGTGTTAACGCTGCGCAGAGCGGCCACCGACTTCCATCCTGCTAACACCACAGCCCATCCACATCCAACTCTGATCATTTTCCTGTAGATCTGAACACCACACTACGAAGCAAGAGGACTGGGGAGGTAAAGAAACTGTCATTACACTTAAAAAAAAAAAAAAAAAAAAAGAAGCTTAAGCATTACACAGCAGAGATTACCACCAGCAGCTGGTGGTAGTAGAGCCAGGCACAACCTGAGCCATGTGTGTATACCAACACTGCTAATAGCAGCTAAGGTGGGAGATTTCCCACTGCTGCCAATCATCAGCTTATTCTCAATCTCTCTTTTTTGAAAGAAATCAATATGGTCTTCTACATTACAAAAGTCACCTGATTCAGTGCTACAGTTCTGAGTCTTTACACCACCACTTCAGGGAGAAGTCAGTAACATCTGCTTCACTGAGCCACACGCAGACAGGGCTAAAAACCATCATCTCTTCTCTGAATTACACGATGGGGGACCCACACCCCTGCAGTCATTTCCCCCAGCCTCCCATGTTGACACAGTGTTTGCTTTTCCACGTTAAATCCCAATCCCTAAGTAAGAGCTTTCTAATCTTTAACAATTATGAAAACGCACAAAGCGAAGCAACAAAACAATTTACTATTCCCTCCACTTGCCAAGAGGACAAATTGCTTTTTAAACATATTTATCAGAAGAAGAAGATTGTGTCTTCCATGATTCACCATATGCCGATACCAACGGGTGAGTAAATGTTGTGCCCGGCCCAGTACATTTTCAGCCAAAAAAAAAAAAAGGATTGAAACTAAAGCACATCGAGGACACACTCTGCATTAGAGCATGTCAACATCTACGAACGGTTCCCAGCTTTTCGGAACCCACCCTTCAGAATCTGACTGTCTGAAACGCTCTCGGAATGACTCGCTGATCGCTACGAGTCACCGCTGGAAAGAGCAGCTCTGTTTCGGGTTTCTTTCCTTTTGCAAATGGAAGCCCAGGAAAGATCCTGAAAGGTAATACTTTATTTCTAAAATTTTGCATGAATATGAAAGGAAGAGTATGAGAGCTGTGAGAGATGAATGATTAACAGAAGTTATTCAAGTTCTCCATTATTTTTTTTTTGAAAGCTGAACCAAGTCAGTGCCAAATTAGTGTTAAACAACAGAACTAAATCATAAGACCAAGTTGGATGGCTCGGAGAGATTCTGTGCATTGCCACTATTTCAATTTTTTTTTCCACTAAAAGTACTCAGCATTTTCTCTTTTGTGAGCATGAGTAACAGTGAAGGGTGTGACACGGTTCTATCAGTTATTTCGAAGAACTGTAAAATCCTGAACATAAGGACCTTTGTTTCTTTGCACAATCAGCTTTAATACTAAAAAAAAAAAAAGAAAAGAAAAAGAAAAAAGCATAGATTTAAAAGAACAAATACAATGAAGCAGAATGGCACTAGAAAACCAACTTCCACTGTAGCCCCAGTTCTAGAAATAAGATCTGAACTCCCATTTCAGTGACTTAGTTTTGGTTATTTGCACTCTTCCAATAAAATTC